AAGTGACGGGATCAGGATCTGAATTCAGAGAGACAGAGATCATCGATCCAGCTGTAAATAAAGACTCGTACATGGGTATGTTGGGGTTTTTGTTCTTGTGTGATGTCAAGAGTTTGTGTGTGTTTTAATGACGCTGATGGTGTTCAGGTTACTCTACTGTGCTGGGAATGAGATGCCGCGTCTCTCTTCTGTTCTCTGGAGCGCCGCGGGCCGAACACACAGGTCTGGTGACCCTCTTCACCAAGAATGAAAGCACATGGACAGTGACGAGGAACATCAGCGGAGAACAAGTCAGTGAAAAAATCTCTCTCCACCGGTGAGACCAGGGGCTCCCAAACCTACGGTCCACCAAGAAGATCAGCAGACCCTTCAAACACACACGCTCTCATGAGATTCAGTATTTCACCAAAAACAAACAAGCACAATACTTACAATATAGACTCTGCAATGCCATATCCAACAGAGAGAAGGAGTAAAATAAGTTTACAAGACCTCTTCAATTTCTAGCCAGTATTGGGTGTCATTGTGGTTGTGAAGCAGAACGTGTTGTTTTCATATTTCATCTGTGAACATCAGGCTATAAAAGCATGTGCTAGAATGCAGTTCCATTCATTTTGATTGATTTCTGTCATCAGATTGGCTCATATTTCGGAGCGTCTCTGAGTCTGTTGGATGTGGACTCTGATGGAGACTCAGATTTCCTTCTGGTCGGAGCTCCATTATTTTACCAGTCTCAGCCGAGGGCTGAAGGGAGGCTGTACGTCTATGCTTTATCAGAGCAGGTACGCACAGATTCACTATTATTTCACTACTATCTTCAGGGTAACTGTGACTGGAAGGCTGCTAGTCATCACCATTGTGTTACTCCATTGGGATTGCTGTTGTAATAGGTTCCCATGACGTGAAAGTCGTGGAAATTGTTCTGGTGCTGGTCATGTGCTGATGAATAAAGATTCTGTTTTCTGCTCTTTCCCTCTCCATAGTATTTTCAAAAGACGCTGCAGTCAACCACAGGCAGATTTGCTGCGTCTGTGGCTTCACTAAAGGACCTGAATGGAGACGGTCTGTCAGATGTGGCGGTCGGGGCTCCGCTGGAGGATGAAGGAGTCGTCTACATCTACCTGGGTGATGGGACACATGGCATAAACCCTGAACACACTCCTCAGGTGAGAGTTTGCT